ATGAAGGTATCATAAGGGGTATTGACCCTCAGAAGAAAGCGTTCTACATCTTGCCAGCGTTGTCAAACGACCTGCTACCAAAGGTCAACACACTTCTTGTAGGATCACCCTTCATTCCAGAATGTGTCTTTGACCAGGTAGGTGGTGATTGTTATGATTGTATAACACATGCCCAAACAACAGTTGATCAGCTTTAACTTTAAAGACGAAGTTGAGTTCTGGTCATGCGATTGCATTGTGAAAGAAACGGTGTGGAATCGAACAGAAAAGGTTGATCATCTAGCATATAAGAATATGTTTGTATTGCAAGGTTCTGGAATCATCAAAATGATAAGAAATTTGGCCAAGTCTTGGTAAAGTAACAAACAAAGTACACAGAAATATGTATATGGGACTACACGAACACGTGGCGTAAAAATCCTACCCCCCCCCCCCAAGTTTTACGATGTTACATGTCATATTTAGAGTATGAAGGCATTTGAAGAGCCATGCTTTTCAGGGAACATGTCTTATCTGATGTTCTTTCACACTTGCATAATAAGAATGATAACGCTCACAAATTATTTTTCACCTCTTCCAAGAACTGAACCTTCTCTTTAACCCTGCACCAAGCCTAGACTTGAACTTAACCCAATTACACCCAAACTATATCTTTGTTAAAATAAAGCCAGGAGCAATTGATGCCAGTGCGTGTCTCTTTGGAGATAGAAAGGCATTAACTCATATGCCTATCTGGCCCTGCACAAATGACAGATGATGTGTTGGAGCATTTGGGTTATTTATTAAAATGGATTAATCCTTGAAGTTACAGTGGTGCATGGTTTAGCAACATAATGTTGGTATTCTTGTAGTGGAGAAATTCATTCTAAACTATTTGATCAGAAACAATGAAGATAAGTCTCCATCTTTTTTCATAATTGACATGGCACATGTGGGTAGCATGAAGGATTTTGAGATACTCTGACATTTTAGTATACGCTGAAACAATGTGTCAAATGCAAGCCTTCTCCATGAATCAATCATTCTATTAGTGGTCAAGCAGTCAATCATTAAAATAGGTCAATATTTTTGTTTTATTCTTCATCACATGAACAAAACAACTTAAATATATTTTTTTTTTAAACTAACTTACCAATTAGGCAAAACCAATTTTATTGATACTTTTCTTTGTTTGTTCTTCCACTTTATATCTGCAGCAATTCAGTACTAAGGGGGCACCGTACTTGAGCGAAAGCTTTGACACCAACGTCCCTGGCTCCCTGCCCATCCATCCAAAGACGTACCTCAAGAGAGGCCCTGGAGGGAGGCCTCCAAAAACTTGATAGTTTATCAGCACATTCCAACATACTCTTAATAATTAATAATTTAATTATGGAGCTTGGCAATGTTGGAATTTCAACCCATTATTAGAAAAGGTACTTTAGAGCTTAAAAGATTATAAAATGACTGGGGGTCATTTAAAAAAAAATTTAATGTACATTCCGTGACGGAGCCCAGGAATACTAGAGGTGACGTTTTTCTTGGGGAGAGGTTCCTCAAGAAAACCTAAAATATAAATTGCTCTAGAGACATGCTGCCTGAAAAGAGTCATCTAGTTTTTTAGCCATCTATAACTGAGCTCATGAATATTCTTGTTTTTAAAAAAAAATTGCAGAAGAGATCTTGGAGAGACACCTAACTATTGAAGTGTTTCAAGATATTTTAACAAAACAATCATGTTGTTTAAGATATTGATAACTAAGATGTGTTGACTCCTTTTCTAGGAGAGGACATGGAATGGGACCTAAGATCTTTAAATACTCTCAAGACATAACTTAAAATATTTTTCTAGCTCTCAAGTACCCATATTGTTGAGACAATCATAGAGAGAGAGAGAGGGGAGGAGGGAGGGGGAGAGGAGAGAGACATTGTATTATGAAATGTTTCACGACATTCCAACTCAAAAGGGTCATCTTGTTTAAAGTTGTAAATAACCAAGATGGGTTGACACCTTCTTCACTATATAGCAACCTTCTAAAGCACGAATAGGTAATAAGATTTTCCAACTCGGTAAAGACATTGGATTTTGATTATAGATAACTATGATAAATTGTAAAGGGGTTGACATTTTCTTTAAAGAGGTCAACCTGTGTCGACTTCTTTTAAGGGGACCAGTTACTTAAAAAGATATATTTTTGTACCACTGGTTTGTATAAAAAAAAATCAACTCCAAATAGTTTCCCTGGTATTCAGTGGTTGTTGTTGGTTGTATATTTGGTGCTCAGTCAAAGTTGACTATTTACGCCTAGTCGGGTTCTTTAGTTTAATTAGTCAAAGTAGTCAAGTAGTAATAGTTCCTAGCTTGGAAACTCTGTGCACCTGTGCTTCCCTGAATGAACTTTTAGTGAGTATAAAGAAAAATATAGGATAATATACAAAAGACCCATGCATAAAACTCAAGTAGAACTTGGAGTCTGTTTATGAGTGTGTATTAGATGCATTGACTAGTCTGCGCCAAAGTCTCTTGTCCTTTTAGTTAGAATTTCTTTTCATTTAAGTAATATTTTTGAAGCCAGGTTTTTGAGTTAAGCTCTTATAACATAATGGAATTCAAAAAATTTGAAGCAAAATATATTTTGATGATTACAGTCTTGACCTGGACTATATCAAGTGTGACAATCCTGTAAGAGTCGGATAAATCCATAGTCATGCAATCCTATTAGTTTTAATCTTGGTGGCTGTTTGTTTATTTTATTTTATGCTGTTAGTTCCTCTATAAGATATACATATACATTGTATATGGAGCTATTGTGCCAAATGCTAATTGAATTGCCACTTTACAGTAGTAGTTATTATCATTAAGTATTTTGGCATCACCTGTGCCTGGATGTGGAAAGGTGAACTGAACCACTGTGACCCTCTGGGTCTCTCCTCCCGATGATGAAGTCGGTTATACTCTTTTGATACACCAGATGTAGGAAAATAATTTTAAATGAAAGACGTATTTACTGTGGTACTCATGATGTTTTGAAGTACACAATGATAGATCATGAATTGCATAAATTAATATACGATTGTTCAGATAGCCTCAAATTTGTAGAAATGGCAGTGTTCAATCATGTACCTAATATTGCTGCAATTGTTAAGCATTTCTATAAAAATGTGGAAATGTACATATCTTTGTACATTTGTACAATCACAGCCATATAAAAAAAAATGTTCTTTTTTTTCTTCTTGGTCCTTCCTGGTGTCGTATTAATGTTCTACCATTCTGATCCAGTATTTGCTTGCAGGGGGGTGGGGTAGGGCACATTTAACCAAAAAATAGCTAATGAGTTACAAAAAATATAATTTGCCTTTTTTTTTGGGGGGGGGGGACTCAAAGACTGTACCACTGCCCCCCCCCCCCCTCCCCCCCATTTTCCTGCATCTGAACATTTACTGAAGCAGTTTTCAAACAATATTATTGTGTACCTATTCATTTCCAATGGTGACTTATTTTTACAAAATATCAGCTTTTTAATGCCATTTTAATTAATTTTGTTTTTAAAATGAAATAATACAAATGAAATAATATGATTGATGTATGGTGATTGGGTAAAGTTTGGCTGTTGAACAGTTCTGTCTTTCTGCCATTAAAATTGCATTTGCCTTCTATCATAGCAAAATTTTTATTGCTTTGTTTATGTAATTTTTACACTTGAATGTGTGTTGGGAGTTAAACATGAAATCATATATTTGCTTTTACTGTGTGTGTTTATTTTTAATCAACTAAATTTCGGTACATTCTCACCTAAATACATGCCTGAAATTTAAGCCCCACTGTCCTACTTGTAGCTACTTGCTCCCTCTATATAGAAAACTTCCCCAATCGATGCCTGTTGGTCCCCCATGATCCTCTTTTTCTTATGTTAGTTGAGAGCTGAGTTAATGAGATGGCCACCCTGTCAGTGACCTCGCTGTGTGGTCTAATCCCTTCTGGCCCAGTAGTATTGACGGTCTTTAAGGCATATCCTCTCAACCGCTTCTTCGTCTTCCTCTCTTTCTCTCGTCTCTCTCTATCCCTTTCTCTTCAACTCTCTCTCTCTCTCTCTCTCTCACTCTCTATCTCTCTCCCCCTTATCTTTTCCCTCCCGAGGGAAGGCAAATTTATTCTTTCTTCCACTCCCTTCCATTCAACTACACTTACACGATCGAAAACAGAAAATGCACCCGTTACAGTACCTAAATATATGTCCATTAATGAATTTTTTTAATTTGAAACTAGTCCTGGGACCTATTTCATAATCCATGTCATCAATAACTAAGTTACAATAACTGTAATAAGCTACTGAAATCGTAGCATTTGACTGAATTTAGCATTTGTTATTAATAACAAGTTTTATGAAACAGGGGGGTCCTGGAGTTGAAGGTCAAAAGTAGCATGCACGAATCAATATCTAAAAGATACATATAATGATCCCAATAAGGCAAATAAAGAAAACAAAAATATTTCAAAATCTGAAGAAAAAAATGGCTTGTCCATCATCCGGATCAAACACGAACAGAAATAAACCAGGAGGAATATAAATTTGAAAAATAATATAATAAAAAGCCTTGTACGATTCTAGCGCTGACTGCCCAAGGAAAGGGGAAATCCCCGTTTTTCAATATCAGCTGTGCAAGTCCGCTCGAAACATTATTTCATCTCCGTATCCTTGGGAGAGGTCGATCGTAGTTTACAGTATTAGGTTTTGTGTGTCAAACCAAGGAGTTTTAATCGACAATCCTACCTCCTTGTTCAAACAGTACTTCGCTTGGGCTTGGCCCTAAATGTTGACCTGGCCTAGATGGCCTGGATTAATAACTGTATGAACTTTGAACTCTAAATCTATAGATCTGAGAGTGAGATCGAGATAGATGACAATGCCGTGCAGGCAAAGCAGAGTGTAGGCATACACACGTTGGTAGTATAAATATAGGCTGCTTCATCTCATGTGTGCGTGTTGTAAACAGCATCGTGGTTAGAATGAGATTAAGCTAATCTGAAAAGACACAGAATTACTCAATATTAACTTGTCTTGAGACTTGACATAAACATGGCAGCACAAACTACAGTCCAGCATGAGCAAGGAGCCGAAGATCCTGCCGTTACCAACTTTAGACGATACCTTCGCATCAAGACTGTGGAACCTGATCCAGACTATGGTGAGCTTTATAATACATGTACAGACAAATTTGTCTGCTAATTCGCGCTTGGAAGAGTCTTTTGAGTTTTGCATGATGCTCCCCTCCAAGATGGATTCTGATTTTGGTGAAGCCAGAAGTAGTCTCAGGGAGTCAGCGGAAGATAATCCCTGAATAATATTTTTGTTGTCTAATTTACATAGAAGATTTGCAACAAAATACAAATTAATGACTAATGTATATTATTATTATAGAATATTTAGTGCTGCCTGATTAGCCGCCAAAATGTTGGTAATTGAAACTAATTATTAGACCCAGCATCATTCAACAGTGGTTTCAAATGATTTCGAATCTGATTCCAAGCCTCACCTTGAATTTTACCTCAAGATGTATTTCCATTTAGTTCAAATATTGTTCCCAGATATAAGTTCCCAATTGATTAGAAACAATATCTTTCATAGCATGTATGCAAACAAGTGGAGTTACAAAATAAAGTGTTAGATAAAAGTTTTTGTTTGGGTATGTACTGCTATTTTAAAATGATCATACTATTATTATTATTATTATTTGTTTTCATTGCTGTTTAAGTAATTAATCCACACAAAATCAGTGTGACTTTATGGATATAAAATTTTACCAATATTGTTTCTTCAATAATTGATCTGTTTTTTTCTCCTTTTGATCAAACAGCTGGAGCAATAGAATTTTTGAAAGAGATGGCCGGGGAAATGGGATTACCAGTACAGTGCATTGAGGTTTGTTCATTTATTTTTCATTTAAAGTTTTTAATTACTTTAGAAGTGTGGGCTTTTTTGATGCTCCGTACCTCGGAATGTTACAAGTAAAGCAATATGTTTGGCAGAAATGTACTTAAGGGGACAAATTTATGTTTATGGAGCTTAATGCATTACCCTATGAACCTTGCTATATGAAGTTAAATTGGCAATCTTATAGTAAATTTTTGCCCATTCTGCATGCATTATGTTTCTGACTAGACTATTTTGTTGTTGATGTTATTGTTTCAGATTGCACATAAGTATATCATATCAATCATATCAATATGAAAATACAATATGTTTTGTAAAGTGTTATGACAGTCTTTATTTGCATTTGCAGGTGCATCCTGGGAAGACTATTGTCATCATCACATGGGAAGGAACTGACCCCACCCTCAAGAGCATCATTCTCAACTCACACATAGATGTTGTTCCAGCCTCTGCAGTAAGTTTACCATATGAGATTAAAAGTAGGATCATCTAGGTCTGTGATTTAAGTTGAAAGATTTGATGAGGACACCAACCTTTGTATGAAACCTTTGGGAATTTTTGGAAACAAAAGACCAGTTTACTAATTAAGATTGCATACTTATTCATAAACGAAAGATTATTTTTACTACCAGTACCTGAAAGCTCAATTGTTAGAGGTGCTGTCTGATTTACAAACAGTAAATGTATGAATCTAAATTCCATCTCTCATTCCTTGGAGATGCAATTAAGCATAATAGTGCATTGAATAGTTGTCACCAGAGTATATCTTTATGACAGTATGAAATTAACTCAAGAAGGTTTGAATGGCAAACTTGACAGATGTAAATTACAAGAATAACTTGGTGATTTATAGCAATCATTATTGCAAGTGAGATGATGGTGACAAAATATTCTTTTACCTTATGATAAACAGTTAATGTACTTTACGTAGACTATCCGCTAAAGGGAGTTGACACTTGCGAACAGAGACACATGATTTAACAGTACTTACATTCATTGATCAAGTATTCTAAATATTTTCTTTTGTTACTTCTGTTTATTTTTCTCCTAACAGGACCATTGGAAATGTGATCCATTTGAAGCTAAGAAAATGGAAAATGGGGACATTTATGCTAGAGGCACCCAGGTCAGATTTAAAAAAAAAATCATCCCATAAACTTCAAATCATTTCAAAGTGTCACTCTTTATGAATTGTGAAAAGATCATGTCAAGTAATTACTATCCTTTGACACAGAAAGACTTACCAGTAGACAAAATTCCTAGCTTTTGAGGACTTCCTACACTTCTGTCTTGATTTATACAATGCAAAGCCATCCATCCCCTCCTAAAACACACACGCACACGCACACACACACACACGCACACACACACACGCACACACACACACGCACACGTTCTCACATCAGGGCCTTTGTGGGGCACCTGATTGTGGGGTATTTCTGTGCGTTCCAGATATACCTTGTGGTCCCCTACTAGTGGGGTATGTACAACCTGGCGATAACAACCCGGCGGTGTGCTTACGATGTTACCATAAAAAAGTGTGCAAGTTTTAGCACACGCTCACAAAAAGTCATTTATGGGGTACCACTTCTAATGCCCCGCAGGGCATAGGACACCGAATATACAGTCATTTGAAAGACTTTACTCTGTGGGGTCCTGAAAAAATACCCCACAAAGTAAAAATGCCTCACAAGGGGTATGTGAAGCGCACATAAAACCCCACACGAATGCTGAGGCGAGAGCACACACACACACACACACACACACACAGGGGATCATGACTTCAATCAATTTTGGAACATTTCTCATGTAATTATGAATATATTAGATAAAAATCTTAAGGAAAATTTCAAAATTGAATACTAATGTATCTATATTTGATTGTATTTATAATCTTTGTATTCTGCTTGCTACTATTTTTTTTAGGACATGAAGTGTGTTGGAATTCAGTAAGTATACCATTTCAATATCTTGTATTCACAAGCTTCAGTTAAGTATGCTTGTTCCACAGCTGTACATTTATTTCCCAATGCTATGTCAATTACTGTGTTTATGGAAATCATCTATTGCTTGCTATATCAATGATACACATATTGCTACATGATTTTGTCAGGGACTTATCACCAAAGAATATTTTATTCTTAATGTCAATTCAGATCCATGCCATTCTTATATATTACAATCAAAATATCAGTTTCAAATATTACTTCTGTAAAGAGACGTATGCACACACTTCTGTTTGTTCCATGTACTTGATTTGAGGGTTGATTTTGTACATATTACCTGTACACAAGTTGTTTTAATATACCAGTAGATGAAATGTCCCGACCATTTAATGAATTGTGGGTGAAATAGACCTCCAAGGTATGAATGGGGTGAAAATTTGTTTGCTTTGTAATCGCCCAGTTTCTATTTTATGATGGTATAATCATATTCTTACACATTTAAAGTATAAAATAGAATAATAGATGATCAAAACTTGTGCCAACTCTCAGCAAAGCTCATAGTCCACAGGCCCATATAACATTTTGCTTTATTCTATTCTTTATTTTAATTTGCTTCATTTTATTGAAGTATTTGTATTTAAGATTATATACCTATATGTCAATATTTGATATACAGTGTAAGTATAAACGTAAGTAGTGAGCTGTATTTTATCCATCATTTGACCTTAATTTGCTTCTACCATACATAAAAATATCACTATTTAAAGTTCTTATCCAAAATGGCTACTGATTGCAAAACATGTGTGAACTCGGTCTTGATTAAATAAGCTCCTTCATTTAATACAAAGAAAAAGGAGATATTGCGTCTTTTATGGTTTCATGTCAACCTTGTCATCATGTCCGTTTTTATCGCTTCTTGTGGTTGTTTGCTATATGCTTTGTCCATTTTGATATTTATATGATTTTCCAAAATTATGTTATTATTAGTGTTTTTGCAGGGATATGGCATGGCTTTTCTGGACTTACTGTGTTTGAAGGAAGTGTTTACAAACTCTGCTAATTATTTGCTGTTCTAACATATATTTTTCATCAGCGTCAATATTTAACCTCTGAAATCTTTGACTCTGAATCTTCTTCCTAAACACAGGTACTTGGAGGCGATCCGGAGGCTGATCAAGAAAGGGCAACGATTGCTTCGCACAGTCCACATGCTTTTTGTCCCAGGTATATTAACGATTTAAGTGTTTTTTATACCCGTCAGTCTTTTTTAATGTTTTGTTAAGCTATAAAGATCGATACAGTGACAGAGTACACAAAAATGGGTTTTGAACTGTTTTGTAGAAAAGTGATTTTTTTTTCCTTCTCAAGAAATGTAGCCCCCCCCCCCTTTTTTTTTTAAATACAAAATAATGGATCCACCCCTGTTCATTAGACCTCTTTGAGTCTGACCATGGTTTTAGTACAATAAAACTCTTGCTAAAAATGAATGATGTGAATTAAAGGAATATATGTTTTTAACATAATTATTCTGTTAACAGATGAAGAACTTGGAGGATTCAAGGGAATGAAGCTGTTTGTTCAGACACCTCAATTTCAGAAACTCAACATGGGGTTTGGACTAGATGAAGGTATGCTCCTCATGTACATTCTGTAAGGGACGTGATTACGGCTTTATTTTGTACTGAATCAACAGGGGGAGGGTTTCGATTAAAAAACAAACAATAGGATACACCTATAGTGTCAAGCACTGCATATGATGTAAAATATAATGTGTCCTAACATGAGCGTTAATCCAACTACAATGCTGATACCTGCACTCAGCAAAACCCAAAAGTGAACAATCTTAATTGTTCAAAGTTTTCATATAAACTTTCAATGAAAAACAGATATGAAATTAAGAAAAATTAAAACTCTACCATCATCAATTAAGATCAAGTTTTGAACTCCTCAACAAGAAACACATTCCGTGTTTAGTAAGAGTGATCAATGAACAAATATTAAAGATACCAATACTAATCCTATATCTTAGGATTCATTGCAAGTAAACTAATCCTCTTACTAAAATATAATGATGTGAGACGGTGCTAACGATAGCATGGATAACTTCATGATGGGCATGGTTTATCTTTACTTTTTCTTTTACTAATTTTTATATATATAGGTCTTGCCAACCCAACAGAAAAGTTTACATTGTTCTATGGAGAAAGAGCAACATGGTGTAAGTATCAATAGTAATAATATTGATATTGATTTTGTACAGCTATAATCATACAATATTTGTATACACATCCTAATGCACAGAGCTTTGGAAATTATTACCTTTGGCTTGAATTCTAGAAGCACCTGTTATCAGCACATAATGTATTTTAAGGAATTCATTCTACCTGTACATATAGTACCCATTACTGCACCTGGGTTGAGAGTGGCAAATGTAGACAATGTCTTTCCAAAGGACATTAGTGCTGTGATGGGGCCAAATATTTCACAACCCCAGCCAAAAGTTCATACCACTTGACTATGTCACTTTTGCAATATATAAAATAAAAACCATGTCCAGCTAATTTCTAATTAGTATGTACAAATATGAGCATAGAACGATCAAATCCAGTGAAAAAAGCCCCTCACTCCCAACTGTGTATTGATTACCAAGAAATCAATCGTCATCTACATTTGAACCAAATACAAAACCCATGGATACCTGTTGTAAAGTATGTTCTAACTTCTAGCAACAGGCTGGGGGCAGCCCCCCCCCCCCACACTTTCAAAAGCTGTGTAATAACATCATCATCTTTCATTAAATTGAAGTCAGCATTTTCACACTTAGTAGAGGCTACTGACTCTTTTTACCGGTTCATCATCTTCCCTTCTCAACACTTGTACCATTTGCCACCCACCCCCCTTTCCCCTACTCTAATATGCATTAAAATACCCCTCTCCGACACCTGAATCTTAAAAGTTTGTTTAAAATGTTGACTGCAATTGTGTTTCAACCTTTTTAGAAATTAATATAACTTTGATATATATTCTTGTCGCCAGGGATCGATGTGATTTGCACTGGAGATCCTGGTCATGCTTCAAAGTTTGTAGAAGACACAGCTGCAGAAAAGGCAGTAAGTTATAATGAAGAAATATTTCTTTTAGAATTGGGTAAATTATGCTTTATCTTTACCAATAACTTTGGTGTTTTACTTGTGGTATAGAATATATGTATCAGATTAGGATATTATCTTTAAAGCAATGCATTAACATTGAACTTTTCTGTGCAGCTAAATTTTGATGTTGTTTGTATTAATCTTTGGGGGAAAAGAATAGCTTGGCTTTCTTTTTGTACATGGAATTCAAAATGAGTTCACAAATTGTACAGTTTGATTTTAAGAAATCGTGTTTTAGGGAAAATGAACTATATGAAATGATTGAAATTCATGATATTCATTTTGATATAGAGTTGTTGTTGTTTTTGTTTTTTTAACTTTGTTGCATTGTAAGTGCTTCATGTAGGTAAACAAATTCAGGTGTGTTGAAAAAATGATGAGAATGAAAAATGGAATTTCCTAGATTCATTGTGGATTATAGAGTCAATAGTACTAAGTCAATATGCCTCTCATCATTTTGTTTTTTTAAATATTTTTGTTTGCAGCGGAGAGTCATGAATGCATTCCTGGGCTATAGAGATGAAGAAATGAAGAGGTACAAATCCGAATGGTTTATTCATTGTTTACTACATCATGTACGTGTTAACCTTTATTGTTAGAAATTAATCTCTAAAGTGAAACCAGGCTAATAACTAGTTGATTTTTATCTAACATAAATCGTTTGCCAGAATTTGCTCCTCACGGCACACAAAGAGTTAAGATGATAATATTAGAAGTTCAAGTAAAAAAAATTAATGTCAGTGGAATGATGATTTACATTAGTGAATGATTTAATCACAAGTGTAGGAGTGTTTATGTATCAATTAACTATAAATGAGTTACCTGCTGTAATTTGTGCACTCTTCGTACGAAATAATACAATCCATTCTTATTCCACTCGCCAATGTAACCTATTTCACCTTCCCCTTACACGAACTTTGTTTGCTCAAAAAAATATCACTTTTACGGGCCCTAAACTTTGGAATGACCTCCCCATTGAATTCACAGAATCAACCTCACTATATTCGTTCAAGCGCAAGCTGAAATGTCATCTCCTAAGCAATTACGCTTTAATGGTAGAAGAAGCATGATGTTACTTTTAATAATTACTGTCGATGTTCAAACTGAATGTTTCTTTTAGTTTGCTGTTGTTACCCTGTGAATTGCCATTGCGTACGGGTAGTGAAAATGTTATATAAATATTGCTAAGTGTATGAATATTGTTTATTTTTCTTCATAATAAGTTTCAACTTAATTAAATTACGTTTTTTTTTAATATACACAAGACTATGTCATTGTTGTAACTTCCGGAGCCTATGACCTACAAGCATTGCTTTCTCTTTAGGCTCCATCATATTTCTTCCCTTATTCAACTTAGTCTTATGTATCATTCTTTTTTTTTTTGTATAAACGCATCCTAAAATGAGTTCAAAATGTAACATGCTATATGTAATGATGTACTATACAACATGTGAGAAATATGAAAATAAACTGAAACTGAACTGAACTGAACTGAAGTATTGTAATATTTGGTTCCCTCTAGACATTTTAGTGTCAGACAATGAATGTAAACATATGCCTAATGTTTAGTACACATTTTAGTATATGCATGTTTTCTATCCTATTGACAGGTTGAGTACAGAAAAATTGGGAGATATTCAGACTGTGAATTTGGTGCGAATGTCGGTAAGTCCATAATCTAGGAACAAAGTATAACTAGCAATTTATCAGAGGGATTCGAGTTTGCAATTTCCAGATATTTTGATAAAGATTTGCTTTATTTTTCATAATTTGTTTTATACTGTAATATATTAGTAGGGGCATTGATTCAAGGGTATATTGGTCCCCCCCCCCCCCCCCCCCCCGTTACAAGTATTCACTTTAAACTTGATCAATCTAAAACTATATTGAAATCCCTGCCAACATGTATGGTACTTCAAACTTTCATTTTGATATGAAACCTGTGTTTTAAAGAAATTGTTATTGTGATGATTATGTTTTTTCATAACCAAACACCTCTTAACATACGGTAACCTAAAACCACATTCCAACTCTTAATTACCCTAACCCTTATCTTTGATGAATAAATAAAGCTTGCCTAAAATGTGGCCAGAGTAAGTGTAGGGTCATCCTTTGGACACATGACCAAAGAGGACACTCATCAGTAAAAGTCATTTTATCCACACTAAATGTATATAGCTGCTACCTTTCAAAAATCTTTTTTCTTTTATGTTATCCCAGGGAGGTGTGGCTAACAACATTGTTCCTATTGAACTGAGACTGCGCTTTGATCTCCGACTCTCCCCACAGCAAACACCAGAGGTAGAGAATCAAATGATTGACCACTACTTTTTATATAAATTAAATGCTTTATTCTGTCTTTCCTTCTTTCATAGTTTCTCTACTTTCTCCTTATTTTTTTCCATATTTTTTTCAGTTATCACCCCCATTCCTTTCGTCTCGAGCATTTTTTCTTCTTCTTTCTCATGTATAATGTTGTTTCTTTCTGTGACTTCACTGAATTTGCTTATCTTTCCATTTATCCCTTTCCCATATCTTTTCTCTCCATTCAATGAATTCCAAAGGTTGTTCTTCTTCATTTGCATTAATCTGCCCCAAAAATAATTGCATATTTGGTTCGGAATAATTTATTCACTGTTTTATGATTTTGATTAAAATGTAAATGGTACGATAGAGAATTACATGATAATTCTACAATAAAAACAATTAGCTGTAAACAATTCAGGATGCTCGTTGTATATTTGGGAACGAATGTTTAAAAATGTAGTACTTTCAAGTTCCATTAGTCTTGATCAAAGATACTTTTGTATGAATTGTTTCCTCCGAACAATTAAACTCCAGCAAAAAATAATTTCTCTTTTTCTTTCTTCCTAAATAATCTGTGCATGTTTTCTGTAACTATATCTGAAGACTGTGCTTTGATTTGATTCACATTTGAAATTTTCCATCTTAAATCACTTGTAGTTTCTTGAGAACAAGATCAAGGAAATGATAGCATCTGCAGGGGAAGGTGTGTCCTTTGAGTGGATCAGGGTAAGAACTCACTATACTGTATTATCTTTAATAGCTCAGCCCATCTTGAAGCCGGAGATCTAGGTGCAATTGATCCCATTAGGACTTGATTCAGATAATCATTATTCATTATAAAAGTCAATGATTTGATGATTTACAGTAATTTCTGATGAATCACAACAAGTCAGGGCATCATAACAGGTCCACCTGTCCAGCACATATTGTGTTTTCTTAAGCACTTTTACTCAAGCTAGCCATTGGATTATTTGCAATTTTGCAAAACAAGAGAACGATGATGGGCTAGCTAGTATAGATTAACTAGCATAGTGTAATAACCTAGCAAAACTACTTCATGTGATCTTTTCAATGTTGATTTCCTTGCTATTGTCTTAATATCTTCTGATTTATATAATGGCCTGAATAACTAACAGTCTAACTATGTAATTTAGTAAATTATCTGACTGAATAAGGTTTTCGTTTGCTCTTTGCTTTATAGAAAGGAGTCTGCTACTCAACACCTCTGGATGACAAAAATGTCTGGTGGCAAACCTTCAAAAAAGTTTGTGATGAGAAGTAAGTATTCACCAAGAAATGTTGCCCCCTCCCACACCTTAATTACCACATCCCCTCCTATTTGACCTCCAAATCAGACCAAAAAATTCTGCTGTAGTTTTATTATTGCAAACTTGTCTTTGGGGAACTTGCAAGCAGTCACACTTTCACATTGTACAAATGTGTTTCTGTTTTATATATTTCTTTTAGAATGAATTTATTTTGGAATCAATGGCTCTGTTCCTTGACATCATCAAGATCATAACATAAAAATGTTGTAATAAAAAAACAATATATATTCCGACTTCACATATAATTCATGGTATATAATTTGTACAAGTATGTTAATTTTAACTTTCATGTTTGAACAGGCCTCTGGTTTATTCTTTCTATCATTCATGGCGAATTCATCATATATGTAGGCCTACTATATCAAGGTCCCTTGAGATATATAACATTTGTTCTGTATATCCACAGTCAATACATATATATTGTATACTGCTATTTGCAGATTTTCAAGAACATATTCAACAAAATAATAGCCCTTTTGCTACAAAGGGGTACAAAATGTTCTCTGAATATACCCCTATTTTTTGCTTATCAAGTACATATTCACAATAAGTACCCTATATTCACAAAATTTGACTGATGTTATACAAGTTGCAGATTCCTTATGAAACACATGACTCTTTTTAAGTGGAGTTTCTTCCTCTTTAAAACAAAAATAATCTTTATTTTTGGTCAAATTTTTGGTCATTAAAATGTTCGCGATCATCGAAAAAAATTACCCCTTTTTGAGAAATTTCTATCAGTCGATATGAAATAAAAGCACTGTGATATTATTATCCCAATGCAGTGACTTCAAATAGAACAAAATGCTTATTGCCTGTATTATTCAATTACTCTCATATACCTTCAGTATATAGCACCATCTTTCTGTTTTCCCTTTATCTCAACAGAAAGCTGGAATTGGAAACTGGGGTGTTTCAAGCAGCGACCGATAGCTGCTACATCCGAGCTTTGGGGATTCCTGTTATCGGATTCTCACCCATCAATAATACTCCCATACTTCTTCATGATCACAATGAATACCTTAATGAAGGCGTCTTCTTACGAGGCATCAACATCTATGAATCTCTCATTTCAGCCATAGCCAATGTGCCTGAGTAGTTGCTGCCTTGTTGCCCATGCCAGCACTATCATCAAACATTTTAGTATCAGAATTATGTACGTGTATTCATACTTTATTATTAGAAACACTATCTCTACTGAAATTCCAGTCTATAGTATTATCTCATTACACCTCAAAACATAATATACGGTAATCCTCATTTTCACTGATGTTTACTTTGTTCATTGTGCATCTAAATTCTAAATGAAATGTATTTACTATTGTCAGTAATAGTTACAGGGGCAAATGAGTAGCTTTACAAAGATTTTCTTCAGAAAATGTGGAGAAAACTGACAAAGTTTTTTCATGAACATGTGTGCATAATGGTATATGTAATTTCCCAGCTCCCTAGGAGTTTGTTATAATGAGGTTATACTGTACTTTCTTTGGAAGACTGGTCTGGATTTAAAAAAAAAACAGTTGTATGTCTGATCTTATAACATGTAAATCCACACTCAAGAATAGTTTTACCAATTCTCATGATTTTTGGTGAACACTGCAACATTAAAGAAAAGGCTGCCGATCACAATAAATTAGAGGTTTACCATCCGTATTTATTACTGCATACCGACTCTAACAAGATGCCAGCCATGAAGGGGAGACAATCGACTCTTTAAAAAAATGTATAATTTTTAAAATCTCTCACAGAGAGTGACATAAAACTATGGCACTGGCCTTTACCTTTAAGCATGTGTTCATTGTTTAGCACGTTAGCACCATCTTTCTTTTCTCCTCTGTAAAATAGAAAGCTGGAATTAGAGACACAGGTGTGCCCAGGTGCAACCGATGCAAGCTATATCCGTTCTTTGGGAATCCCTGTTTTAGGATTCTCACCCATGCCTACCACTCCCATACTTCTTCATGATCACAATGAATACCTTAATGAAGGCGTCTTTCTCCGAGGAATCAACATCTATGAATCCATCATTCCAGCTTTAGCTAGTGTTCCTTAGTGTGTTGATGCTTTGTACCCATAGCTACAACCCCAGCAATATCATCCAATACTACTGTACGAGAGCCTTAATTGTATGTGCGATACACACATATACGAGTTGCTTTTGATAGTATATACTCATTTGTAATACTAATTGCCTTGGCCTTTACCAAGACAAATTTCTTCATGGTATTGAGATATCTCGAATGGCATCCCTATAGCTCATGCCCCAAAACACGAGTATTGATATGATACAACAGTGATATAATAACGACGTATTAAAAACTGTTATCATTGCAATTTTTTTTTTAATGGCCTTTTCGTTCTTAATGGATCGATTGAGTTACTGAGGAAGGATACAAGCTTTAGAATTTAAAGGAATAGAATATCTGGGGTAATTAAAGCATGTTCATTTGTTATACCCAGTATTGCATTTATATATTTGTCTTATTAAAGTTACAAACCATGAATTTTTGTCCATTCTATAGTCATTTTCAAACTTGTGCGAGATCAAATTTAAGATAAATCCATTTGGGACAATCCTGTCCAGATTGTAGACATTTTCAATACCACATTAATCTAAATTGAAAAGTATGAAAATATTATCAAGAGACTGATACTGCTTGATAACAAAATATGTACTATTTTGCCAACATTTGTACCCATATCTACCTATTTTGTATATTTATTAATCATATAATATCTATATTTTGAAAAATTGCCAAGTGTGTGTATATACTTGCCCATCCTATTTTTATCAGGGGATTTTGATTTGTGTAATGGAAAGCAATATGTGTTTAATTTGTTGTTTGACTATGTTATTTGAGGTGAATTACATACAAATAAATGCTGATACACATATATAATAAATGTTTCTACCAGATAAGCCAATGTTTTTTTATTTTTTATTTTTGTCTTCCCAGAAATAGTATGTTTTGTTCTAGTTAATCATATTCATATCCCTTCTCTGTCTCTGTCTCTCTCTCTCTTAATGTCATATACATGTAGTAGACCAAGTAACTTGTATTCTTATTTCAAGCATTCTTTATGAAAAAGAAATGTTTAATAGAAAACAGCCAACGTTCATATACATATGGATATATGTAACTCCAGAAAACTCCTAACAAGTGCACCATTTTACTTGTGGTTCGAAGAAGGAACATCCATACATTTGAATACATTAATAAGCTTGTCTAGAAATAGTTCAAAAGATTCAAAAAGAAAAGAGATACAAAATTCCATTTTTTTTTTCTTGAAACATCTTCTTTTTTGTCTTTTACTTTACACAAGGATTCAAAGTAAACAATACTATAGGTAAACATTCATCAACACATGTCTGTAATTACAGAACACCATATTAAAAGAATTTAGTTGACCCTTGCATTGCAAATCAAGTCGATGGAAATACATTTGAACACTATTTAGGTACAAAATGTGTTTTTACGCATCTTGGATATTGATTCTTACGTTGTAAAGACTGTCTTATGAAAGTAACTCCATTATCAAAAGAATTTATTTGACCCTTGCATTGCAAATCAAATCGCTGGAAAATACATTAGAAAACTATTTAGATACAACATATGTTTGTAGTGAAGACCATCTTATGGAGCCCAAAGCAGACATTACTGGCCAATAAGAAAGAACAGCAATTCTTGAATTTCTGATTTAATTGTGTACATAAGCTCTTTGTTTTTAATGTGTTAAACATATAATGCAAAATAGATGATATTGACATATTCCTGGGTCAAAAAAGTGACGCACAGTAATGCTTCAATCCTGCTTTCTATGAAATTCCTGAATACCTAACAACAACCTTAATAAACATTATCTTGTTTATTTTACTGCAATTTAGACCAGACTATTCTTGCAAAAATGTTCTTCAGAACCAAATTGAATAGTGGGCAATCTTACTTTGGAACAAATCAAGGAATAAACATACCTTGTTTCTTTTTTTAATAAAATCATACTAAAGTGACTTTCAATGATTGATTATACAATACAAAATGGAACTTTTCATATGGAACTTAATATTCATTATCACTTCTGAATAAAAGAAAATAGTACAGATAACACTTTTTACCTTATAATCTTACTTCATTCAGAAGATTCTAAAACTTAATTCTGAAATAAATGTTATCCTATTTTGGTTCAAATACGAATATGAATCAAATGGCATGAGAAAAGACAATATATCTCATGCACCATAACCAGTGGCAGACATGTAGAATAAGCCTTTTAGAATTCTCAAGGTTAAAAATTGGGTACCGGGTAACCAAAAATTGAACAATGGCATTAATATCTTCCTACTAGTATTTCTTCCTAGATCAACAATGGACATCTGATTTGGTACATGAAATAAAAACCCAATCGATCAAAAACATGGGATCATAAAATGATGATTAGGACAACTACTCCCTTACCGCTACTAGTAACTTCAAGAGAAAATCCCAAGACCCCCCCCCCCCCCAAAAAAAACTCCACATAAACACAAGAGAATATGGGAGAGATCTTGAGTAAGTTAGGGGGGGGGGGGGCGGGTAAAAAAAATGTACTTCTCATGTGGTCATGTGGGGGGTAGTTCTGGAAATGCACGAGTCTCATTATTTCTTGCTACAGAGAGGAAAATATCAAATTCCAATTTAAGCCCCCCCCCCCCCCTCAAAAAAAAATACAAAATACAAAACAAAGGCAAAATTAATTATCTCAGCATAATATAAACTTCAGGTCCAGAACATACATGAAAGATAACGAAAACAATTATTTACCTGATTTAGCTAGGTTTATGGAAATGCTTCTTAATGTACAGTTAGAAAACAATGTTCCCTTTGTATAAAGTACACCGGTCTTAAATCTGTGAATTACTTTGTTTCCAACATTTTAAGTTCAAATGTGAAATTATACACATTTTCATTTAAACAATGATAATGCCACAAAGTAAAGCTTCAATACAGAACTAAAAACCCTGAGAAAATAACATCAAACATGATAAATATCATACATTCTCAGATCAGCTAAATTCAATTGGAGTGTACCCTATAGCAAACAACCATTTACTGGATTCATGAAGTAAGGATTCTCAAACGAACACACACAAATACCTCAGTGAATAACAATATAACATACCGGTACATAACAATGCATTCACTGCCCCTCCCCCCCCCCCCCCATCCCATTCTGAACAACTGAATTTCAATTTGGCGAGAAAACAAGCAAGTGAAAAACTCCATGTAGTTAATATCATCATATCAAAAAAAGTTCTAAGACTAAGATACTAGCACAAAATTTCTCTCATACATGTACCTGATCAACTAAAGCTATTTTCTTTACACCTGTTGGTTGAATTTCCTACAACAAAATTTTTTTTTCAAGGACATATAACTAACTAATCAATGAAGCAATATCATAAGCTAATAGCAAGTGACCACATGTTATCTTACTTTTAGAAAGAGAATGGACTAGCAAAAGTTGATACTTAGGTCCTGTACATCGACAATGTATTGGATCTCACATAGGAAAGGACGTCGACTGAGGGTGGCTCCTAGCACAAGGAAAGGACTAGCTGAAGTCAATGATTGAGCTAAATGCCATACATTGTCATTGTATTGGATCTCACATTGGAAAGGACATCGTCGAGGGTTGTTCCTCGTAGCTGAGCAATCCGCTCTGCAACCAGGAGAGCCATGCCAGGATGAGACCACCTACGTCCTTTAACCTGATCAGATACAAATGAACAAATACAAACAATACTCACAAGAAATAATGTAAGCTAAAGGCTCATAAAAAGCCTTAACAATTGCCTGAAAAAAAATGCTGCACCATGATAACAAAATTACTACCAACCTCTCAACGCTAATTGTAGTATTACTGAATAAAACTACTTCATGAAGTATCATTTAGCTGCCTAAAACACATTTAAAAGAAGCAAACAGCCATTAGACCTATGAATGAACACAAACAGGAAACTTGGAGCACAGATATGGAAGTACATGTATATCAAATCGTTTTTCTCTTCAACCTATTATTACACCATCTTCAAAAGAATACATTGAACCTAAAGCTTCAAAGGCAATACAATGCAAATCAAATATTGAATATTAGAAATGAACCATTGGATATGATTTGATTTTGGTATACCATGCATCGTGCATCATGTGTAGACTCCAGCCTGATTATCAAAGATTTGGTATTAAATGGGTTAATGAAAGATCCAAACCTTTCTAGGAACAAAGTAAGGTGTGTCCGTTTCTAGTAGGAGCCTGCTGAGAGGGATAGCTCGAGCTGTTTGGTGTGTGTTGGTAGCTGTGGGGAAGGTCACTAGGGCAGTCAAACCAATGAAGGAGTTCGGGAAAGCCCTCAGAAATGCGCTGAAATCAAGCAAAATGCACAGAATGACAAGATAAAATGGACATGGTATATAAGATTCTCCCATAACCTTTCATATCATTTCTAATACACATCACAGTATACAAAGGGCCTGAGAAAATCTAGTTGAATCTATGGTGTAAGTCGATCGACTGTAGTTGCCCATTTCCTTGAAGGGCGGTAGTCCCAAGGAAAATAGGCTATTGACTGAAGTCGCTGAGACTGACTCTTAGTCTTAGATTCACCTAAATTTCGAATAAAGGCCCTATATATTTTGTATATATCCCTCATCAAACTTTAGATCTAGATTTAACAACATTATAAGAAATGATTTGGGAAACAAGGGGCAGTCGGAGGGAAAATAGTACCAAAAAAATTTACAGAATATTCTACTCTTGAGAAGTGTGATGTCACACCTATATTTTCCTCTGCATGTGAAATCATCTTTTAGTGAAATTATGAACAATCACATGAAGAGCTCTTGACCAATCCTTGAACAGGAAATTTTCCGCGAGGGATATAATAGTTTCTGTGTGTTTAAACAAAAAATCAACTTGGCTTAATCAAGCTTGGTAGGTAATGTAGTCATATGGTATTGAAGACATCAAGTGCCTTTGAACTACAACTAGGAAAGTAGAGAAAAAAACTGCATACATTAAGCCCTCCACTGTGATGAAAGCACAGAAAGGCATATAAATTTGATATAGCACAACATGCAGGGTTCTCTCCAGTGTAATACACCCTAATTAATAATACCAATTATAAGGGATTTAAGAAAAATGAAATACCAATCGCAAATTCTCCAGACAAGGGTACTGACAATTAAATAAATGTATGTCAATGCATACTTTCAATTTGCCAATTTTTTTTATTTTCCCACATTAACCCCCTGGGATCCTGTAAGACCACAATTTATTTAATTTAGAGTTAATTCAGACTAAGAGTAAACAATTACCTGCGGAGAAGCTCGAAAAAAGGTATAGGTGTAAAGTTGGTCCTACAATTCTTCTCGGCTTCATTTTGTCAAAGATTTAGGTTTAGAGATAAAATTTGGTTTTGGATTATGTTTAGATTTAGGGTGAGGGTTAGTGTTTGGTATAGATGATGTTAAGAATTTGGTTTGAGTTTGGTTTAGGTTACTGATCACTGACTAATTGTGGCTGGAGCTTATGTTGAACGACCAAGAAACAGTCTTACATGGCATCTTGGGGAGGTCCGGTGAAGCAGTGGCGATGTATCTTATGGTTCCTGGGTACCATCTCAGACATGATGCTGAGGGTGTCTGCCTCCGCGTCCCTGCAGTGAATTACTAGGGGCTTCTTGGTGTCCAAAGCGATCTGCAGCTGACGTCGGAAGATCATCTTCTGAAGCTCGTGGTCCGATGTGGTCTCCAGTGGCCTAACATGATAAAGCCAAATTATTTCTGCAACTTATATTCTATATACTTTTACCAATGACTGTAGAGGTGAATGTCTTATTTACAAAGCTTGTCAAAAATACTTCCATAATACAATGTACAGTATATACAAACTTCCTTCAATTATTTTTCTTGAAGCCAGAAATAAACTCCTCTACAAATTTGACCATTAAATCTATAACTCTCTGTTTAACAACAGATACTCAATATATGTTGTACATTCATCTATTTCAGCATGGATTTGCCATAGTCCGATTACTATTCTCCTGCAACTTCATGCACTTCAAAAAGTGTACATTTTTTACAATACCAAACAGAACCACAAAAAAATTACTACAAAAAAAATGTAAATAAAATCATGTATCTTCCATTCCTGTTTAAAGAGTTCTTGAAACATGTGATTAATCTGACAAATAGAAGATCAGATATCCTGTTTTCCAAAAATTCCATGATCAAAGTAAAGTACTCATATTCACCTGTCAGAGTAATCTAATCCAATCTCTCCGAGTGCAACAGTCTTTGGATGATTCATCCAGTCCTTGATCTTCTGTTCCATGATGCCATCATAGTGCTTCACCTGGTGTGGATGGCAACCAAACGATCCCCAGATGTTGCTTTCCTTCAGCAAGTTATCAGCAAGAGAGTAGTGGATTGAAAAGTTGACAGGGTAACAGAAGATGGCCACACATCCTGCAAAATTAGTTGGAAACTTGTTGACTAAGCAGAACTTTGCAAATGTGCGCTTGAACATGTGCCGTTGAAAGAGCAAGTCAATGTGGGCATGAGTGTCCAGATAGTCTATATCACTTGTAGGGTATTGGATCTCTAAAGAATCTTCCACCTCTTTGGATGAGCGCCATGAGCTTATTTTTGGTAATGCCTCTCCTCGCACTTCATCTTCTAGGCTGAGTCGTCTTGGTCGCTGAAGGATCTCTGCGAATGTCTTCTGTCTAGGGGATGCTGAGGCTGGGCGGGTAGGGGGTGCTGAGACTGGGCGGGGAACTGGTGTGAGGTTGTATGTGCCCCATCCTTGAGATCCTGCAGACCAGTTCCTTAGCTTGTTACTGGTATCTGTGGTAACAGGACTTGGGGTTCCTTGCCAGAAAGGACTCTTTTGTGGCTTTTCTTTGGTAATCCCATTATTATTCTGAGGACTTACAAATTCTACAAGAGGACGTCCAGATCCCCAGCCACTTTGAGGAGCTGTGACATCAGGATATGACTTCCTCCTTCTCTCTTCCAGATGGGCACTTGAAATGAGATTTACTCTCTTCTGACCACCAGGCTGCTCAGTGCTTTTGGCAGACACCACAGCAGCATATGAAGAAGGTGGCAGTGGGCCGACACGAGGTTGATTGCCTGGCGCTGACACATAATTCCTTGCTTCCTCATGCCTCTGCATTGGCGAGTCTTGTGTCATCTGCTTGAGACTCGATCCCCAGATTTTGCTTTTCCGCCGGGCATTACCAACACTAGTTGCTGGGGTTTCCAGGGCATGATTATACCAGTTATAGTTTGGTTGTTCTACAGAGTCCATTTCCATCCCTTCTGAGAAGTTAGAGAGTGTAGCTCTGGGTGCTGGTTCGCAAGGGCTTGGAAGATAGGAGCCAACCTCATCTTCAGTAGATATGAAGTCACTCTGGGTTTCAAGGTTCTCAGTGTCTTCCTGGATGTCTGGTAAAGGAGTCTGGAGCAGAGGTGACTTCTGTTCCCAAGATGCATTTGGACCTTGTTTCCATGTATCACTATCCAAGTCCTGGGAAATATATGATTGATTTTCTGAGGAGTCAAGGTCTGAAACAAAAACCTTGTTACCATACTTGTTGTCTTCGCACACTGCATTTTCCTGGCCCCTGTAATCTCTATCACCATATGCATTCACATCATAGGCTGCATTCATGCTCTGCATATAACAAGTGTTCCCTGAAGCTGATTCATCAACAGTGTAGAAACTATCCTGAAACTCATTTCCGGGAGATTGAACAGGTTGTGTAGGAGGAATTGACTCTGCTTCTGGTTGCATACATCTGGGAAATCGATGAATGATTGGGTATCTGGAAATGGCATCTGGATGAAATCCTCTCATCATGGCAGGTCCATAGAAATAAGGATCTTGCATCATTGGCCACATAGGAGGACCATAAGGGAACGATGGTCTCATTGGAGGATAAGCATGATTGTATGGCATGTATGTGGTCGGAGGATAAGAAAATCTTGCTCTGAAATCTTGCCTGAAGGATAAGGGAACATTCATCATATTTTGATCACTCTGCTCTCTTTCTGGCGGAAATTCTGGTGGAAATGGATGTCTTTCTTGAACGTCCTCTGCATCTACACCATCTGCTGAGAGCTTCTTCACAACATTGATCCAGTTTTCATCATCAGTGAGTGAATCATCCGCTTGACAACTGTCATAATCATCTTCAGCATATTTACTCATGCATTTAGCTTGGGTATTTGGTCTAACCACCCCAACTTCAATCTCATCATTCTCCTTTGACTCAGCTCTAGCATAACCAACTTTTGTTTCAATATCTTTCAAGGATTTGGTAGCAGAGTTATTCCCTTTCTTCTGTCTACAGTTCTTTGACCTCTCCCCTTTGTGAGATGCTGCATTTGTATTTTGCTCAGTGTCATCATCAGTACTGCCTTGGTATTCTGGAATCGATGCTGCCCTTTGCTTCTTTTTAAGTTTCCCTTTCTTCTTCGCACTACCTTGGTTAAAAACCGAATAGGTCCAAGAATCCGACTTTGATTTGCTAGGTAAACGTGGCCCCATTTTGCAGCCAGCTGTAGGACTGCTGCAGCTTCCTACTCCTCTTGATTTATACGAAGCATGGTCCTGTTGTCCTTCTCTGCTCTGGAATGTGTCTTCATCTGATGTGCAGGTACAGTTCTCGGTTACAGCACTAGATAGGCAGTCAACCACTTTATCTCTGAAGACTTTTCTTGGTGTCACCTGTTTGAACTCATCGTCACTCGGTAACCCAACATCCCAGTCTGGGTTCTTGGAATGCTGTGTACCAGCCTCTGAACATGGGTATGACTCCTGCACCAGCATCAATCCATTAGAGTTTTCAGTAGTAGTCCTGTCACTGTCAATCTGATCTTTGTCCATATCTGGTGCTTCATATAAAGTATTCTGCCTCCTGTTTAACTGAGCAAACCTTATCTCTTCATCCCAGTTCTCTCCCTCTGACACACTCAATTTCACTTCAGCTCTTATTTCTTTTCCTGTCGATATGCCATCATCTCGAGAGAAGGGGAAAATTCCAGCAAGGTTCTTCTTACATTTTTTCTTGATGAGAACTTTTGATTTATTCTCGTCATTGTTTTCCATCTCTGTGCAGCTCCGCTTGGATGATGAGCTGGATCCAGGACTCAGAACCTCTTCTTTTGTGCATGGTTTAGAACCTATTCCCACCTCAAGCTCGGGTAGCGTGTGGAACCTTTCCTGGGGAGAAAGTTCTCTGCCCTCTGGACTCAAGCCATCAAAAGTTCTTGGTCTCTGAGGTGGTTGTCCAACCTTGCTTGAATTCTGTTGGGATCGATACTGAAACCTGCCTCTGCTCCCACCCCAGCCTTGACCTCTTCCTCTTCCCCTTCCTCGTCTCTTAGGATTGCCCCGTTCCCGTGATTGGAATATGAAGCCTCCCCATTCTGCCATTATGATATTTTCTGGAGTAATCTGAAAAGAGATAATACACAAAAACCTAACTTTTACTCCTTCATACATGTACATGTACATTTACTTTGCATTGAATGGTGTTTAACTCACCATACATGTAGTGCCAAGACAGCAAGTATGGAACGCGTAGCAGATTAATATTGACAATGATAACAATCGTAACAGTGATATAACATAGATGACACTCTTCCAAAGAGCTTTAGAAATCTATCACCATAAGTTTTAGCCTGAGCTGCCATTACTAATGAACCACTGCACAAAATTAAAATTTGAAATAAAAAAAAGAAAAACTTTGAACATTCTTTAAGATATGAATTCATGTTGTGCAACATTATTATTTAATAGTATATTTATTCAAAACCTGTCTCTCCGCCTAGGCTGAAATGTACTATTCTTTTTACAAATAAAAACAAAAATGCATATAAGACAAAGCGATACGTACATGTACACTAGACTTCTATACCAACTTATTATAAGGAATAAAAGAATGATACGGGAAGTGGCATATTAAATGTGAATCATAATTATTAATTAACATGATTAATCTAATCTAATACTAATTTTCTGTACTAAGGAAGATCTGAAGAGACTGTTGATTTAAAACAGCAATTGGAAGAAATTTACATGCAATATTTCATAAATGTTGTAAGAATTATGTTGGACAATATCATGATGGTTACCGGTATTAAACAAAAATAACCGTCTGGTATGGGTCATTCTTTAATAAAACTGACATTTGTCAAGAGGCGGTCAAATCAGGGAGGTGAAAGAAAGGAGTCGAAACTCTTGTAATTTATTCAAACACATTTGTGAGTTCTAAAGCGTAACAATGGGATGTGTAACATTCCACTTGGCTTTGAAGTTCCATGCTCCGACCTGCGCTTCCACTGCGGGGACTTTCGGAAGCCAGGCACCAGTTTTACATTTATTACAAAATATTAAGGGCAAAATTTCACTGTAAATCAAAAACTTTATATGGGGATTTTATTGGGAATAGTGCATCAAACAAAGTTTCAAATTTAGAACTCCATTCTTCCTATAATTTTTGTGTGCCAGAGTTGGTAAAAGAAAAATTACATCCTGACAAAAACTCAATATTTTAGGATGGTGCGCTTATTTGTGCATGCTTTAATGTCCCGTTATTTGATCCATGATTTACAATCTTCAACAACATTGTTTGCTAATGCGTGTTTTCGCGTGTTTTTTGTATTTTTCACGTTAAAAAAGGATGAAATTACACAAGTTTGTGTTCGATTGTTCTACTCTTTACACATTCAACAACGCATGAGAAATCATTGGAAGGGACAGCGAACAGTTGCTGTGATACCATTTTCTGAAGTAGGAATTCTAAATCCTGAAATTTCATGCGCTCTTTTATCTCACCACCTGGTCAACAGTTGCAGGTTAGCGCATAACTTTTCGGCAGGTTGGAGCATGGGGTCAAAGGAGAGCGGCTTGATTCCAGTCCTTCTCCATCATGCAGGTCCCTGGTCAGATGCAATCTCAGCGAAACAATCATCGATATCAGAGACTGAAGCTTTCGATCTAGATCTAGTAGATCTAGATCTAGATCTAGTAGATCTAACGTTAGGCTAGATGGTTACCGGTAGGCCTATTTTTTATTAGAGTATTTGATGAATATTTTTTGATAAATTAGATCTAGATTAGAACTTAGAAGGCAAAAGGGAAGTCTTTAGACTTTAAGAAAGAAAAAGATTTTATGTTTGTTAAGTGAAGAAGTGTCCAGACAGACACCCCCCCCCCCCCCTCATATCATCCAGCAATTCCTTCTGTAGGGTACGTGTCTTCCAGGATAGGGCAAACTTGTCAAAATTGTGCCGCCTGAGTTTTCCCGCTAGGGCTCACTCATGGGACCCATCTTTTGTGATTCGATGGTGCCTAGCTATAGGGCTATAGCTAGGGACCATACTAGGCGCGTTACGGTACGTTTCACAGTCGATCATTCTCACGATCAGTAGCTAGGCCTCCCGATCATCCAGGCCACACATACATGTACAACACACGAGCGCTCAAAATCGTCCTTCACTTCAGTCAGGACTGATACTACTCAGGAGAAGTCACTTTCCCTTTTCTTTAGATCTCTCCCTACTTCTCCCGTATTTATCACGCAAAAATAATATATTGTGCACACATACCTTCACTTTAACAATGCCGGGAGCTAATGGAACTGACTTGGAAATTACAAAATTGTAGACATTCTAAAGGCACAGCGCAGCATATTCTCAAAGAATTTAATTCAGGCGCTTAGAAGGCAGCGCATGTGCATTACGATCACTGCACGCGAACCAGCTCAGCTCGCTCTATATTACGTAACAGTTCGGGGAAGAGCCCAGGCAGAAAGAGGAGGGGGAATAACACGGAGTCGCAAATAGAGAACATTTTCTCTTTTTTCAAATTTTTTTATATTCCTTTCCTGACACTATTCGATGATTTCTTGTTCCTATTTAATGAAGCGGCGGGGAATGTCACATATTAATTACGGGGATGTGCCGGCTCGATAAATGGGTCACTTTTTCACAAAGAATCCCTCAACATGGGTCCGTTTTCTCAAAATTTCCAAAATTTTAAGGTGTTTGTATGGCATGGCAAACACCCGAAAATTGTGAAAATTGGCCTTTAATTCGAGAAAAATCCCCCCGAAATAACCCTTAAAAATAGGTAGGGGTTTCGAGGCTTGAGCGGCACTGACCGGATCTGAGAACCCCCCCCCCCCCCCCCCCCCGTCAAACGTCCTGCAACAGTTACTATATTAAATTAATGGTTAAACGAATCTGGTCGGCTACGGAATCTGTAGGGCAATGACAGAGAGCTTCAAATTGGCGCATGATAGGTAGGCTACCGTAGACGTGGGCCCACACATTTTCCCGAGGTGCCCACCCCCCCCCCCCCCCCGGGGGGGGGGGGGGGAGTTGAAAGGAGATCGTGTGTCGTCAGGTTCCATGTGTGACCAAAGCCATCATTCGCTGACGCCCAAAAGTACCCTTTTTTCTAAGAGTATAAGCTGGAGCTGGCCCCCCGCAGCTAATTCCTATATATGCATATCATTTTGGTTTGAAAATCGTTATTATCACAATTTCGATTTCCCAATATTATTTAGAAAGTTACTGTCTTCATGTTGTTGTCCTCTCTTGAAATGATATTACAGCTCCGACCTATAATTTTTTCCAGTTAGGGTATTGAAAGTGCTTGTCCTCCCAGATGTCCATAAACGCCATTATCATCCTCCTCAACACCATCACTGTCATCTTCTTCATTATAATTAGGGCCTAGGAGGTCATTATCAGCACTATCAATCTCTTAACACCACCATCATCACTTTCATTCTATTTAACGCCATCATAAAATTCCCATGATTGACATTTCTACCCTCTGCGTTTCCTAGATCAACACCTTCATTTTTACTAGAGATAGAGAATAATAATATATTATGAGAGATATAAATGAAGAATGATTGGTAGAAGAGGTAGAATATTAGGAGAGGTAGGATAGTGGGAGAGATAGAATAGTAGGAGGGGTAGAATGAGAGGTAGAATGGGATATATAGAATGGTAGGAGTCGTGGAGAGGTGGGATAGTAGGCAGGGGCGTCGCCAAAGGGGGGGGTGCGACACCCCCCCCCCCCCCCACGTGTCAGGATATTGTCGGTAAAATTGCGCTGCCGTCGGGAAAAAAGAGAAAAGGGGGAGGGAAAAAAGAGAGGGAAAGGGAAAGGAAAAGAAAAGAAAGAAAGGAGAAGAAAGGAAATAAAAGGAAATAAAAGGAAATAAAAGGAAAGAAAAGAGAAGAAAGGAAATAAAAGGAAAGAAAAAGAGGGAGGAAAGGAAAGAAAGGAAAAGAAAGAAAAGAAAGAAAAGGAAAAAAAGAAGAAAAAAGAGAAAAGGGAAACAAAAGAAACGGGGGGGGGGGTAAAAGAGAGGGGGGAGGTAAGAGCCTGAGAAAGGAGGAGTGGGAGTAAAAGAAGGGGGGTTGTTGGGTGGAGTCGTCTCGTCAAGGATGCAAGAAAGACACGGGTAAATATGTTGCTGTGTCAGGTCAGCTGTGTCGGTATTCTTGCTCGATCGTCATGTACTAGATCAATGCAAAAGTTTGAAGTCGGTGAGATGTATATTGTTGGTCGGCCGAGTTTTTTTCCCTACGAACTGTGACTTTTTATCCGCTGTGACGACTTTGAGAGTGACTACAACTAGAATACTTGTATTTTCTCGAAGTTTCACTTTCCTATGATATCAGCTAAAGAACTCAGAGGTTAACATTTTTCGGGGTAACTAAATTAAAACAAGGATAAAGAGTACAAAATGGTACAACGAATCGTCTTCTTTCTCTAATAATTTAATGAAACGTCAAAACTTCCGCGCTTCGCGCGAGAGGGGGAAACTTCATTTTAAACAAGGATTAAGAGTCGAAAATGGTACAACGAATCGTCTTCTTTCTATAATAATCAAATCAAACGTCTAAGCTTTTCGCGCTGGAAGGGGGGTTTAAACACGGATTAAGAGTCGAAAACGGTACAACGAATCGTCTGCTTTCTCTAACATTTAAGGAACCGTCAAAGCTTCCGCGCTTCGCGCTAAAGGGGGAAACTGAATTCAGACAATTAGGGCTTATTAAGAGTTGAAAACGGTACAACGAATCGTCTTCTTTCTATAATTTAATGAAACGTCAAAACTTCCGCGCTTTGCGCGGGAAGGGGAATACTTCATTTAGACAAGGATTGAGAGTCGAAAACGGTACAACGAATCGTCTGCTTTCTCTAACATTTAAGGAACCGTCAAAGCTTCCGCGCTTCGCGCTAAAGGGGGAACTGAATTCAGACAATTAGGGCTTATTTATGAGTCGAAAACGGTACAACGAATCGTCGTCTTTCTCTAATAATTTAATGAAACGTCAAAACTTCCGCGCTTTGCGCGGGAAGGGGAGAACTGAATTCAGATAAGGATTAAGAGTCGAGAAAAGAACACCGAATCGTCTGCTTTTTCTCATAATTTAATGAAACGTCAAAGCTTTCGCGCTTCGCGTGGGAGGGGGGGGGAAACTTTATTCAGACAAGGATTAACAGTCAAGATCGGTACAATAAATCGTCTTCTTTTCCTAATAATCTAAGAAAACGTCTAAGCTTCCGCGCTTTGCGCGGAAGGCCTAACACATCAACACCCCCTAATGTGATTCGCTTGCTCACTACCGCTCCTCCCTAAAATAAGATCCTAGCTCCGCGCCTGCATTAAAATATAAAGCTATGATGTTTACTAAGTTGACGAAATGTCGTCGAGGAAAATGATCATTTGCGCATACGCAGGTTCTATAGGAAAAAACAATTTAGCCTTCGGCCCCGGGTTTAAATGTGTAGATATTGGGACATTTAATTTTGTCGGTAATTGGTGGCTAGTTTTGTCGGTAAGCGTTGGCCTCTACACCCCCTTCCCCCCCTCCCCCACTGGAAAAGGTCTAGCGACGCCCCTGATAGTAGGAGAGGTCAGATGGTAGGAGATGGAGATGGAGAATGATATAGAAGAGGTAGATTTGTAGGGGTAGAATGATAATAGGGAATCGTATACCATAAATGAGAGAACGATGAGAGAGGTAGAAGGAAATCTCATTGGTTGCAGATAGGAATTACTGTTAAATATTCTATACGTTTTCAAAAAGAGATGAGATTTCCATGTGAAAGGAGTATATTAATATTTTGTCTGAAAGTCTGAAGAGTCTATAAAATAATGGAAAAGTAAGCTATCACGTTTTCAGATCCAGATCAATCATGTAATTTTACAGAGCCTATTAATTCCTACTTCAACCTCAACCGAGTAATTTCTTGATATTACAACTCCTCCCATGCACTGGCGAATATTATTTAAGTAACGAAGATGCCCCTCCATCAAAGCTCGCCGCAGTCCGCAAGATAATTTTTGTATGGCTCTGTGAAAGATGCTCAAATGGTTTAGTCTCGGAACCTGCCCCGAAATTGTTGCCCTATTATCGAGTCAATGACATTCCACCTCAGTCATTGGCAAACTTAGCTTGCAATAGACTAACCGTGGCCTTCTTCTGATTAGACCCATATCGGGTCGATTTCACCCCCATCCAGTGGCGTAGGTATACGGGGGGTCACAGCAGGCGCGGATGGGGGGGGGGGGGGCGACGGTCCCGCCCCCCCCCCCGGCTTGAAAAAAAAATATTTATAGAATATATATATATATATATATATATATATATATATATATATATATAGTAAGTGATCACACAATCCGCCCCCCCCCCCACTAAACAAGAAAATTGAATGGATGAGGACCGGATCGACCACTCTCGACTGCCATGTGGTTCACGTTTTTTTTTTTTTTTTTTTTTTGGGGGGGGGTGGGTTTGGGTTTTGTTTTTATATGTAGGCTTCGTAATTGTTTTGTGTTTTAATTTTTCATTACGATAAGATTTGAAATACTTTTTGTAATTCGGAAGATGAACATGAATACAATAAAAATTTAAAAAACATACGGGAAAAGAGGCAGAGAGAGTTGTCCTTAACAATTTAAATACAAATTTATTATATCCCCTCTCGGCCTATAGTCAATCTGCCCCTTCAAATTTCGAACATCTAGTTTACCAACCGGAGTGCCGCGAGTGTATTTTAGTTATATAACAAACAAATTGGAATAACGTCAACTTCAGAAAATTGCAGGATTACATATATAGAAAGGTCTAGCTAGGTATTTTCAAGAAGAAATAACATTTCTGAGATAGTAAAGTGTATTTTGTTTTCATTTTGATGATTGTGGGATTGGGTGACGCGGGGGGGGGGGGGGGGTTGAAAAACGCTGATCTAGTAAACACCCGGCCCCCCACTCAGTGTTATTTAGGGTACGCGTATGCTCGTTCCCTCTTTTTGAAAGCACCCCCTATCTGAGGACTGCGAACATTTCCGAACCCCCTTTCGGGGCTTTTCGTCGGCTTTTCCTGCCTTGGAGACCCCCCTAAAAACGGAAAAATGCTCAATGTACCCCCTAAATTCGGAATAATTTCTCTGGAGTCCAAAGAGATGAGAGAAAAAAGAAAAACACCCCCTTTTTAAAGAAATCTCCGGGTGAAAAGTCAAATACACCCCTTTTATATTATTCTCGGGCCGGACTTTGTCGCACGAAAAGTACCCCTTTACCGGACATTTTGGTAACACGCATGCGGTCATTCCGACCCCGGAGTGGGGGGGGGGGGGGGGGGGGGGGGGGAGTAAACAGTACACAAGAAGACTGGCGCCGGCCCGGCCTAATGACAGATCCCACGCCACTGACCACCTCGATCACCAACCAAACTTTGTAAAAAGTATGATATAGTATATTCACTAAGCATTTGTTCAATTACGCTCATTTGTGATTTGTATTTCATTGCTCGGGGACCTATTAAAAAAATGGACTAAAATTTGAAGAAAAAGGTAAGGTTATAATAATACAAATTGATCTTAATAGAGTCCGAATAATTAAAATGCCTTTGATGTTGTTGTTGGTTTTCGTGGAGATTGCCGTCGGTGATTCGATGATTTTCGCAAGGCAGTGCGAGCGGGCGTTAATTTGCTTACGCCACTGAACTGCCGCTGGCATTTCCAGTTCGATGGTAATCCCACTGAAAAATCGAATTTGATTCGTCCGCCTGCTCAAATCACGTGATGTGCATCAATTGACCATTCAAAGAAACTGCTGAAGGATATCGCACTCACGAATCCAATTTAGGTTTCGTGTGTAAGAGGAAAAGCAAAAAAATCTGTCAGTCTCTGCAAGATTCTCTCAAGTCGCATAGAGTTTTTGACTTAGCTTTTGCTCCGTTCTTTGTTCTTCGTCGTCGTTATCTTGCCTCGTGCTTATTTCACCTGTGCCATAATCCCTTCATAACGCCATCGGCATTCGATCTCCCTGCTAATGCACCGGTCAACTAGAGTCTTGAACCTACCCCCCTCAAGACTTCACTCTTATTCACTTTTGGTCTTGAACGTCCGACACAAAGATTCACCTCTCATTCACCTTGCTTCGTAACAAATAAGGTCAAGATTCACTATTCCAAATTAGTTATAAGGTGCAGATTCACCCATCTCCAAGAAAAATAGGGTGTAGATTCACCTCGCCGCTAAAAATATTAGGTGCAGATTCACCACACGTCTTCACCTGCTTAATTTTTATTAGGTCAAGATTCACCGGCCTTTCACCAGCACCGCTACTTATGGTAGATAGAGTGATTATAAGTAAAGGAAACATAAAATTGATCATGAGTACTTGTGGAAACAATCTGTTTTCTGAAAATGGTAGCTAGAATTTAAAAAAAGTACAATTTCGCCACTAATTATTTTTTTCGGGTCTCCGCTTCGGCTACGATGTCTCGCCAATAATTATTATTTTTGGATCTCCGTATCCATGAGTTATTCACTTTGTGTTAAACGTGTGGCTTAATGATTTACATATACATGTGGCTAAAACTTGTCAAAAGGAGTGTTTTGTTCAACTGCTTGTTTTTATATAAGAAAATGTTGTCACTGACACGCAGCTAGGCTAGGAATTTTTTTTTTTAATGGGGGCTACTTTAAGAAAAGTGGGGGCTAATTCATTTTAAGCTGTAACAATAAGTTGTGTTTTTCCTTAGCCGTCATGCTACTAGTACTAGCAACCAAATTGGTAGGTAATATTGTGTCATTTTGTATTTTTTTCTGTCCCGAATTTGAATTGTTATCATGGACAATGCGATCCCATTTAAAATAAAATGTAACTCCGTTTAAAATTGTGTTATTTAGATCTAGACTCTATAACTTAACCAATAAATGAATATTTTTACTGTTGTCCCACATAACGATCATTGTTATAAAGAAACATGCAAAATCATAGTCGTATTTTTGTCCCCGTAAAGACTCTAATTCTAATCTATAAAAGCCAAGCCAAAGCTAGTTTCATTTCGTAGACTGAAATTGATGCCATCACTCAGGCGCGGCGCAGGCATCAACGACAATGGGCCTAGTATATAAATAATATAATTTAATTAAACAGTTGTAAGAAAAATGCTGAGGTATGTATAGGGACATCATTTATATATTTATTTACGGGGTTTTTATAACAAAATTCAATTTCTGTCTACGAAATTAGCTTTATACCGATTTTACAGGAAAAAATCTGGCATTGATTTTGCACGTTTCGTTACAACAAATATATCGGTATGTGGGACAACAGTAAAAATATACTCGCATTTAATGGTTTTAAGTTATAAATAACACAATTTGAGACGGAATAACATTATTTTTAATGGGATTGCACTGTCCATGATAAAAATTCGGGTCGGAAAAAAGACTAAATAAACATATTACGAACCAATTTGGTCGCTAGCAGTTCAGCACTCGTCACTCGCAAATACTTATTTGCTTCATACTCTAGTCTAGAAGCGTGCGGGCTCGCGCTGCACTGCACTGGAGTAGCTAGTTTCTGTGTATTGTGAATCTGTACTCCGTATTTACATCGGGGGCGCGGGCCTGGCCGCGTGCTTAGGCTAGGCGGATACCGATCTAGCTACAGCAGTAGGTACGACCGCCGATCCGCTGCAATCACAAAACTTTTAAAATGTTGATGGAAATTTCTAGTTTTGGAGTTGGTAGTTGGAACGGAGAGTTCAGTCAGACAAATCAATAAATTGATTTATTAGTTCCCAGGGAATATCAATTTATGGCGGGGGCGATTTTTCATTATATATCAATTTTGTTCGCCCTCGTCTTGATATTTACTGTGGCGATTTCAGAGGTTTAGGAGGCGAATCGCCCCGTCGCCATCGTGTATTTTTTTCGTTGGCGCAGGCTATACAAGTAAACAAAACGTGACAGCAGCTGTAAACAAATTTCCCCCACGTCTGCATAGCCGGGTTATATTATGATTTACCCAAAATGTGATCAGTTGACAAAGCAGTCTTCGTTGAGTGTAGACATATTAGAAACTCTTCAATAATTAAAAACTTTATCGGGGTACACTTTTGGTACTCATCAGCAGGGCGGTATTCCGCATGTCGCTAACTTGTATGGCATCACAAAACCTGCCATACAAGTTAGCGACATGCGGAATACCGCCCTGCTGACTCCAAATTCAGAAGGTTTAGAAGGTATATATTTTCGGGTTTTAATATTCGTGGACACCGGATTTAGCGCGAAATCCGAACTCGAACGTAGCTCCACGTCATAGTTAAAATCTTGAACCCTCATTTCCCCTGGAGTCAAAGACATTCGACGCTCGTTCACACACGATAATTTTTTCACTCGACGCTCGTTCACTTGTATGTGAAAAATATTCGTTCAAGATTCACAACATTCGGTAAAAAATGAGGCAAAGATTCACCTTCTCCTACAAATAATAAGGTAAAGATTCACTACGGCCAAACAAAAATACGTCAAAGATTCACCACGCTCAGATTTTGGCGACCCCAAGATTCGACGTCGAGTTGACGTCGAATGCTTGACGATCCTTGAGGGGGGTAGGTTCAAGACTCCGGTTGACGGGTGCATAAGGCTAATCAACCAAACCGTACAGCTGGAACTGAGTGGAGCTACACAGTACAGGAGCGGAGGGTAGCTAGCATTGAATGAGGAAGACGCCCCCTGGTCGTGATGACCAAGAGTGCTGGGAACACCGTCAGTAAGTACAAAATAATATTCGAAATAATAAATAAATTTACTAACCAATAAGGACATGGTTGATTATCCATACACGCATTATCTTGACCCCTCAGTGTTTGTTTGGGGTCAATCTTTGCCAAATTACCCAATCAATGTGTAAAAAGAATAAAACATGCATTGTCTTTAGCTGTATTCGCAATATATTATTTTTGCCAATCTACTAGTTATGTCCTTGTTTTATGTTTTCTCTTATTACAGACAGTCAGCTGAGATCCAGAGCTCAGCACATATGGGGCATCATGGGAATGGCAGACGTTGCAGCCGGTTTGGACATCATTCGCTACACAAAAATGCTGTTTACTTGCACGTACGGTATACGGTATGTATTTATTCAAAGTAAGCCTCTTAAATTTGTGTTACTATAGATAATATATTTTGTTTTTTCTTTAGAGAGACGTCATCAAAAATCTATTTTTAGAATACCGGTAATGGTTAGGAGCCAGAGGATATAACACTGAGTTCCCATAGGATAGGACATATATTTATTCAGATGGTCATATCTCAGCCAATACTTAACATATTAAATTGGTTTTCGACATTTGGACATTATTTTTGATGCTCTTTCGGAAAATGAAGACAAAATTGAGAAATTCTAAAAATAGATTTTTATGACGTCACAGCTTCAGTACCCTATAGACCTATTTGTCCAGTTCATGGGCTTATCCTGAATTCTCTTGTGGAGGGGGGGGGGGGGGGGGGGGAGGGGGGCATTACTATTTGTAAAAAATAAATAAAACAATTAAATGGTAAATAATGTTCTGTAGACTAATAACACTGCCCTGTAATAACTTCTCATTCCCTCATGTATTGATGTTGGACCAATGAAAGTGTACGTACGCTGTTGCTGTGACAGGTGAATGAGAACAGAGAAGGGTCACCATTTGCCCTTATTTGGGGGTATATAGGAGTATCAATGGAGAATCAATGGAGAATCATTGATTTGAATGTAATCTGTGAAATTCTATTAATGCACGTCCTAACCATTTATATTTTGTTGGTTTATACAGTCGACATGTTGCTCCGTGAGAATTGTTGTGCTGAGGTTGTTCCTGCTTATCACCAACAGCAATTTGAGCGGCGTACATGTAGGAGGGCGGACAAGGGTGGAGGAGCACGAGCAAGTTTACTCAAGACTTAGGTCGCCACTGCTAAGCTTGCCGCAGTTAGGGAGCATTGTCGTGCCGCCAATCGGGCAAACCAGAACCTGCAGAGTTTGACCAAAGTCAAGGCAATGTGCGATTATAGCCTGGAGTGAGTAAAATGTCTATGTTTCCCTTTTTTTAAGGTATTGTACAACCCCCCCCCCCCCAAGGAAAAAAAAATGTACCTTAACACTGTTTTTGTTACTTTGAAGATTCCAGAATGTTCACAAAACTTCACTAACATAGAAGCAACTTCTAATTACCAGTTGAATCAAACTGAATTGAGATGCATCCAAGGTTTCTTTCATAATAACTTTTATTTACCAAGGGACAGCTTGTAAATTATTTCCAAGAAGGTGTGTGTTTACTGTTCATTGTTTGGCTTCTTATTTTTGAAATGGTATTCATGCTTTATATACCATTATATGGCCTAAATTCAGCAATTTATCTACAACAAGGTGATAGTCAGCATTCATCTTTGCTTTTGTTTGTGTAAACCACTTCTATGTATTATCTACATGGATATTTATTAGAAAAGAAGTAAAAAGTAGGGCTGAAGGTTAATAAATCCAAACATTTTATCATTCAACATAATTGGAGGCGAGTTGGCTCAGTCGGTAAAGCGCCTGCCTGTCAAACCAAAAATCTCAGGGTTTGAATTCCACCCAGGCGGATGACTGAAGCCTGTGTTGTGTGTTAACGTGCCCCTCCCCTTGTTTCATAGACACAGGTATTATGTTAAGTGGAAAACACTCCGTCCCTCGGATAGGACGTTAAATGAAAGCCCCGTGTACAGGAGAGTCACTACCCTTGCACGTTAAGAACCCTCTGCACTATTCGTATAAGAGTAGGGGGAACCCCAGTGTAGTGGTCCACCTGCACACTCCAGTAACCTTGGCGTTATATCCTGACTTATGGATCCTGTCAAGTTTCGACATAGAAGTAGAAATGTCTATGTTATGCATATTTCATTTATAACAAATCCCATTCGTTTCCCTTTTGTGTTTCCCTTTTGTCACCGATTGTTTTCAATCCTCTCCTATAAAGGGCTGAATATTCCTGAAGTTTTACACTTTGAATTATTATTCTCATTATGTTATATTTAAGTTTCCTTCAAGGAAGATCCCTCTCTTTCTCTTTACTATGATTTGTTGAATCTAATTTTCATAGTCATACTGAACATTACTTTTGTGGCATGAACTGTCTATCTCTCTGTTATCTACATCTGTAAGTTTGGATTCATACAAATATTTTTCTTCGGTTCCCCTGTTATTGCCAGTTTGACTTACTGAATCTATATTTCACTGTTTATATACTATACATCTGAATTGCTTAAGTTTGAATACTGTATGTCAGATACAAAGCAATTATTACTCCCTCTCTTTCTTATCTTACTTGCTTGTTTGAATGCTTATGATCAGATTCACTTATTTCTGTATATATATATATATATATATATATATATATATATATATATATATAGTCATATTTAATTCTATAGCTTTCCTTATTACTTATCAAATCTTCTCGTTTGAATACTGCATATAGCAGGTACAAACTAAGACCCCTCCCCTCCCCTCCCCTCTCTCCCCTCTCTTTCTACTTCTCTCTCCAAATGTGAATTTTCTTTTTTTGAAGCTGTATATGATATTCCAAGTCATGGATTGCTTGAATGTGCAATCAGTGTCACCTTAGCAAACATCAACTTCTTTGTGGCATTCAATAATCTTTTCAGTAGAGAACGTTGAGTTTTCCTGATATCCAAATGGATGACGCACCTTGTGGCCCGAATTTACAAGGGTTTGTTGACAAACTTCACTTGTGAATTTGAGCCTTTGTGTACAAGAAAAGAACTCTAAATTAATTTGTATAATTAAATGTTTCAATGATAAAGCCACCTATGGATATTTATCCCAGCTTGAATTTTCTTTCGTTTGGAACTTTGGATCAGTATGTGAAGATTATCTGATGGCTTTTGTTATTTTTTCATTTTCTGGTTGTCATGGCATTTTAGTGTAGTGTAGTTAACGCCTGGCTGGGAGATGGTGACCTGTGAATAATGAGCCCACGGGGCCCTTTCCCTTAAACTGTTGGGAGACGGCATGCCCAGTCAGGTCTATTTTAAATTTTGTTTTTGTTTTTTTGGTAGGGATTAGTAGAAGGTTTCCATGATACCAGGAATATATTGTTTTGATGCATATATGTGCATAGTTTGAATTGTAAGATCCATATTGTATGTAATTTGTATATTTGTATTTGTGCATTTCACATTATTTAGTGAAAATTTTGCTTTGGACCACTTGTAATATTTGATGGCTTTTGTAATTTTTTTCATATTCTGGTTGTCATAGCATTCTAGTATAGTAAAGTTAACTCCTGGCTGGGAGATGGTGACCTGTGAATAATGAGCCCACAGGGGCCTGTCCCTTAAACTGTGGGAGAACGGCACGCCCAGTTAGGTCTATTTTTGTAAAAAAAAAAAATTTTGGTAGGCTTTCTGTAGAAGATTTCTATGACACCAGAAATATATTCTTTTGATGCATACATGTATGTGCATAGTTTGATTTTTAAGATCCATATTGTATGTTATGTGTATATTTGTATTTGTGCATTTCACATTATCTAGTGAAATTTTGCTTTGGACCACTTGTAATTTTTGATGGCTTTTGTTATATTTTTCATTTCTGGTTGTCATGGCATTCTAGTGTAGTGTAGTTAACGCCTGGCTGGGAGATGGTGACCTGTGAATAATGAGCCCACTGGGCTCTGTCCCTTAAACTGTGGGAGAACGGCACGCCCAGTCAGAGCTATTTTTGTAAAAAAAAAAATGGGGGGGGGGGGGGTAGGGCTTAATTATGGAAGGTTTCCATGATACCAGAAATATATTCTTTTGATGCATATGTGCATAGTTTGATTTTAAGATCCATATTGTAGGTATGTGTATATTTGTATTTGTGCATTTCAAATAATTTAGTGAAAATCGTGCTCTGGACCATTTGTAATATTTGATTGTTTTTTTTTTTCTTTCATTTTCTTGTTGTCATTGCATTTTAGTGTAGTGTAGTTAACGCCTGGCTGGGAGATGGTGACCTGTGAATAATGAGCCCACAGGGCTCTGTCCCTTAAACTGTGGGAGAACGGCACGCCCAGTCAGAGCTATTTTTGTAATTTTTTTTTTTTTGGTAGGGCTTTCTGTAGATGATTTCTATGACACCAGAAATATATTCTTTTGATGCATATGTGCATAGTTTGATTTTTAAGATCCATATTGTATGTTATGTGTATATTTGTATTTGTGCATTTCACATTATTTAGTGAAATTTTGCTTTGGACCACTTGTAATTTTTGATGGCTTTTGTTATATTTTTCATTTTCTGGTAGTCATGGCATTTTAGTGTAGTGAAGTTAACTCCTGGCTGGGAGATGGTGACCTGTGAATAATGAGCCCACTGGGCTCTGTCCCTTAAACTGTGGGAGAACGGCACGCCCAGTCAGGTCTATTTTTTTGGGGGGGGGGGGGTAGGGATTAGTAGAAGGTTTCCATGATACCAGAAATATATTCTTTTGATGCATATGTGCATAGTTTGATTTTTAAGATCCATATTGTAAATGTGTATATTTGTATTTGTGCATTTCACATTATTTAGTGAAAATCGTGCTCTGGACCATTTGTAATATTTGATTTTTTTTTTTTTTTTCATTTTCTGGTAGTCATTGCATTTTAGTGTAGTGTAGTTAACTCCTGGCTGGGAGATGGTGACCTGTGAATAATGAGCCCACTGGGCTCTGTCCCTTAAACTGTGGGAGAACGGCACGCCCAGTCAGGTCTATTTTTTTTTGGGGGGGGGGGGGAGGGATAGTAGAAGGTTTCAATGATACCAGAAATATATTCTTTTGATACATATGTGCATAGTTTGAATTTTAAGATCCATATTGTATGTTATGTGTATATTTGTATTTGTGCATTTCACATTATTTAGTGAAATTTTGCTTTGGACCACTTGTAATTTTTGATGGCTTTTGTTATATTTTTCATTTCTGGTTGTCATGGCATTCTAGTATAGTGAAGTTAACGCCTGGCTGGGAGATGGTGACCTGTGAATAATGAGCCCACAGGGGCCTGTCCCTTAAACTGTGGGAGAACGGCACGCCCAGTCAGGTCTATTTTTTTTCGGGGGGGGGGGGGGTAGGGATTAGTAGAAGGTTTCCATGATACCAGAAATATATTCTTTTGATGCATATGTGCATAGTTTGATTTTTAAGATCCATATTGTATGTTATGTGTATATTTGTATTTGTGCATTTCACATTATTTAGTGAAATTTTGCTTTGGACCACTTGTAATTTTTGATGGCTTTTGTTATATTTTTCATTTCTGGTTGTCATGGCATTCTAGTATAGTGAAGTTAACGCCTGGCTGGGAGATGGTGACCTGTGAATAATGAGCCCACAGGGGCCTGTCCCTTAAACTGTGGGAGAACGGCACGCCCAGTTAGGTCTATTTTTGTAAAAAAAAAATTTTTGGTAGGCTTTCTGTAGAAGATTTCTATGACACCAGAAATATATTCTTTTGATGCATATGTGCATAGTTTGATTTTTAAGATCCATATTGTAAATGTGTATATTTGTATTTGTGCATTTCACATTATTTAGTGAAAATCGTGCTCTGGACCATTTGTAATATTTGATTTTTTTTTTTTTTTTTCATTTTCTGGTAATCATGGCATTCTAGTGTAGTGTAGTTAACGCCTGGCTGGGAGATGGTGACCTGTGAATAATGAGCCCACTGGGCTCTGTCCCTTAAACTGTGGGAGAACGGCACGCCCAGTCAGAGCTATTTTTGTAAAAAAAAAAAATGGGGGGGGGGGTAGGGCTTAATTATGGAAGGTTTCCATGATACCAGAAATATATTCTTTTGATGCATATGTGCATAGTTTGATTTTTAAGATCCATATTGTAGGTATGTGTATATTTGTATTTGTGCATTTCAAATAATTTAGTGAAAATCGTGCTCTGGACCATTTGTAATATTTGATTGTTTTTTTTTTTTCTTTCATTTTCTTGTTGTCATTGCATTTTAGTGTAGTGTAGTTAACGCCTGGCTGGGAG